CATATAGATCAATGGAGTAGAATAGAGAACCCAGAAATCGGCCCGAACCAATATGCTCAATTAATATTTGACAAAGGAGGCAAGAACATTCAATGGAGCCAAGATAGTCTCTTCAATAAGTGGTGTTGGGAAAATTGGACAGATATATGCAAGAAAATGAAACTAGACCACCAACTTACACCATACACAAGAATAAACTCAAAATGGATAAAGGACTTAAATGTACGACAGGAAACCATAAAAATTCTAGAAGAATCCAAAGGCAACAAAATCTCAGACATATGCCAAAGCAATTTCTTCACTGATACAGCTCCTAGGGCAGTTGAAACTAAAGAGAAAATGAACAAATGGGACTACATCAAAATAAAAAGTTTCTGCACAGCAAAAGAAACCATCAACAAAACAACAAGAAAGCCCACTACATGGGAGAACATATTTGCCAACATTATATCTGATAAGGGCCTAATCTCCAAAATTTATAGGGAACTCATACAACTTAACAAAAGGAAGATAAACAATCCAATCAAAAAATGGGCAAAGGACCTAAATAGACACCTTTTAAAAGAGGACATTCAGAAAGCCAAGAGACATATGAAAACATGCTCAAAGTCGCTAATCATCCGAGAGATGCAAATCAAAACAACAATGAGGTACCATCTCACACCTGTCAGACTGGCTATCATCAACAAATCAACAAACGACAAGTGCTGGAGAGGATGTGGAGAAAAAGGAACACTCGTGCACTGCTGGTGGGAATGCAGACTGGTGCAGCCACTATGGAAGACAGTATGGAGTTTCCTCAAAAAACAAAACATGGAACTCCCATTTGACCCTGTGATCCCACTTCTAGGAATATATCCCAAGAAACCAGAAACACCAATCAGAAAGGATATATGCACCCCTATGTTCATAGCAGCACAATTCACCATAGCTAAGATTTGGAAACAGCCTAAGTGCCCATCAGTAGATGAATGGATTAGAAAACTGTGGTACATCTACACGATGGAATACTATGCTGCTGTAAAAAAGAAGGAACTCTTACCATTTGCAACAGCATGGATGGAACTGGAGAGCATTATGCTAAGTGAAATAAGCCAGTCAATGAAGGAAAACCACCACATGATCTCACTCATTCATGGATAATAGAGACCATTATAAACTTTTGAACAATAATAGATACAGAGGCAGAGCTGCCTACAGATTGTCATTTAACTATAAGCTCCTTAAGAGTAAGGTCTATGATCAACCTGCATGCATATAAGCATAACCAATGGACATAAGACACTGGGGGGTAGGGGAGGCCAGGGGATTGTCAAGGGCGGGGAAAAAAGGAGACATATGTAATACTCTTTGTAATACTTTAAGCAATAAAACAATTAAAAACATAAAATAAAAAATAAAAGACAGATTGGAGAGTCTAACTGCTAGGCAATATCTTATTCCCTTCCTTTATATGAACAACCTTTATTCATACCTTTTCTATAGCAATTACCACTCATCAGTCACTACAGTAACTACTGACATGTTTTCTTCCCAGGTTAAAGTGCAAATTTCTCAATATGAACATCAGGTCATGTTTTGTATTCCAAACTTCTGGTACAATGTCTAGTTTCTGCCAGAAGCTAATTCTAGCATGTCATAAATGCAAGAAGTTTCATCAAAAGGTTGATGGAACTTAGGGATTCAGCAGGGCTGAATCTGCTGGAGATGGCTAAGGGCATTTCCCCACACCTAAAGATCTGCATAGATGATTGCTTGCTGCCAGACAGCTGAGGGCATTTCAATTTACGTTATTGCATCCTACTGGCCAAACACCTGAACAGCGGAAGGCAGTTACCCCAATCTGACAATGGATTCTGTATACTAAATGTTGGCCTTTGATATGTATATCTACCTTGCCTTAGGACAAATTGTGTTTTATTAACACAATTTTATTAGAGCAAGGGGTCCGGAGATTCAGGAGAACTTGGTTCCTTTGGCTAAGTCTTCTCTGGCTCCCCAAAATGCCTTCCAAAATTATGTTTCGTCTCTAGACTCTAATCATTTACAGCAGCCCCTTCTCCAGATTCCTGAACCCCTTCTAGATGCTGGATTAAGACCCCTGGCAGTTTCCAACAATGTACCTCAAAATGCCATATGAATAAATTCAACATGATAAATTGTTTAAAAATCAGAAAACAAAAAGCAGGAGTATACATCTATAAGATAGGGCAAGATTTAGATGTGTGATTTCCTGAGAACAAAAAAAATTTTAATCTACAGAAAAGAGAAACAAAACAAAAAAAAATTAGACAAATAAAAAAGGAAAGTTATACACTAAATTATTTGAGATTACCTTTACCTTCCAAGTGGAAGAAAACAAAACAAAACAATAAAAATAAATAAATCTATATATATAAGGCTAAGTGACCAACTGTATGTCCATCCGAACGGTACATATGACACGCACTGGCAATCTATATATATATGGCTAAGGGACCGACTGTATGCATGTACATACGTACGTCTGACTGACCAACCGGCGGGTACATATGACACGCACTGGCAATTTAAAAATAAACATTGACTCGCACATGCGTGATACATATACATCTCTCGCTGGCACCAATTGCACCCGTGTGTTTCCATTTGTCATTGTCGATATGTGAATTTGGTTGTTTTTGTTGAAATGATTTGTAATGGATCTATTATTGAAGCTACATTTGAAAATAGTATATCTATAGATAATATTAAAAATATATCTAAACGTGTGATTCTTTTTACAAAAAATGAGCACGTTCATAAATTAAATGAAGAAATTTTGGATAGACTCGATGGAGATTTTCACACTTATTTGAGTGATGATTCCAGCGATTCAACGGATGATGCTGAAAAGGAAAATTTTCCCATCGAATTTCTTAATAGTATTACTCCTTCGGGAATGCTGTGTCATAAATTAAAATTGAAAGTAGGTGCAATCATGCTACTGAGAAATCTTAATAGCAAAAGGGGTCTTTGTAATGGTACTAGATTTATTATCAAAAGGTTGCGACCTAACATAATCAAAGCTGAAGTATTAACAGGATCTGCAGAGGGAGAGGTTGTTCTGATTCCAAGAATTGATTTGTCCCCATCTGACACTGGCTTCCCATTTAATTTAATTCGAAGACAGTTTCCCGTGATGCCAGCATTTGCGATGACTATTAATAAATCACAAGGACAAACTCTAGACAAAGTAGGAATATTCCTACCTGAACCCATTTTCGGACATGGTCAGCTATATGTTGCTTTCTCTTGAGTTCAAAGAGCGTGTGACATTAAAGTTGTAAATATTTCATCACACGGGAAATTAGTAAAGCACTCTGAAAGTGTTTTTACTCTTAATGTGGTATACAGGGAGATATTAGAATAAGTTTAATTAATTTATCAGTCATTGTTTTTATCACTTGTTTTTATATCATGTTTTTGTTTTTATATCATTTTTTTGTTTTTATATCATGTCTTCGTTGTTGTTATATCATGTTGTGATTATTTATTAATCAATTTATATATTATTTTCATATACATTTTACTAATTTTCTTTCATGTCTGACACGTCTATTATAGACAAAGAGCAAATAGTGATATTACAATATCTCTTCTAATTAATTTCCTTTCAATGTGCACGAATCTGTGCACCAGGCCACTAGTAAAAGTTTGAAAACAGAAAATTAAGAATGTCTTATTACTTAGATCATGGCTCTTTTCAAATTGACAAATCTATTGATTACAAATATTGAGACATGTACAATAATAGTCTTACCTCCTTAATTAGAAGCTTAAAAACAGAAGGCACTTTCACAGAAATTTCATTTATTCCATAAAGCAATTTTCTATGACAAGAAAATATAATAATAGTATTATATTACATTACATAATAATAGTGTAATTTTGGGAAGTTACTTCATTACATGAAGCTCAAACCAGACTGCTCCTAAATCTAGAACTTACACATTCATGTTTCTATATACTTGTCTTGTACAATTCAAATTCTCTACCTTTAGTATTTAAATTAAGTAGTTAATACAGGATAACTATACAGCTATCATTTTGATTCATTCTATCTCATATCTTTTTGTGTGACAAATATCTTTCCAACTAGTCTATAATAATTATGTCAGCAAAGGTTTTCTTTTCCATTCTTGAACACAATAGGTCTGAACAATTTTGAATTGCAATTAATTTTTGCAAAAGCTTAAATAAATAAATTTAAGAGACCTGGTACTATTTTTCTAATAAGAATATTGTACTTTGCCCTAGTTGGTTTGGCTCAGTGGATAGAGCATTGGTCTGTGGACTGAAGAGTTCCAGGTTCGATTCCAGCCAAGGGCACATGCCTGAGTTAATGGCTCGACCCCAGTGGGGGGCATGCAGGAGGCAGCCGATCTATGATTCTCTCTCATCATTGATGTTCCTATCTCCCTCTCCCTTCTTCTCTGAAATCAATAAAAATATATCTAAAAAAAAATTAAATATATAT